TGACCTTGATGTGCGCCAGTTAAATCTTGATCTTCTGCCTCATTCTCCTCTTTTTATTTTGTCCAGAATTGTGTAGGAATAGAGTCACTGCTGCTTTTCGAATGAGTTGCCTTTTTATTGGTAACTTTTCTTTACAGGCTCTCAGTGTCCCATAAATAAGGCAGTCGTGATAGAACAACGTGATGATACTACGGTGACTCTTGTGGAGGGCTCTACTGGAGCTTACTTAGGCTATTTGACTCTGAGATTTAATCCTGACAAAGCACCATCGGCAGTACCACATCAACAGCATTATGCTCTTCAGGTATGCCTGTTGTACGTAATCTCAGCAGTTTCCTGTCAAACGTCATCTAATCATATCTTTTCTGATGTAGGTGACAGAAGAAGCTTCGCCGGTGATTGATCGCTGCCACATTAATTCGACATCTTCCGTTGGAGCAGCTGTTTGTGTGAAACGCACTGCAGCTAATCCCAAGGTAATGGCTTTATACCGTATTCTGTACCTTTACTTGACTGACAATAGCTGTTCTTCAAGGTACGACATTGCACTATAACGGATTGTGAAAATGTTGGAATATACATTACGGATGGTGCACAAGTAAGTGAATCCTCGACAGTATACTAAGTAGAGAATACATTTGTTTGTTTAGGGCCAATTCGAAGACTGTGAAATTGCTAGAAATTCGTTAGCTGGTGTATGGGTAAAGAACCAGGCCAATCCATTTTTCAGGCGCTGCCATATTCACCATGGGAAGGATGTTGGCGTATTCACTTTTGAGTATGTTTTTTTTGTTAATCCAGCTGTGTTTTCTCAATTTTGATACGTTCACCCGGATCTTCTAGATACGGAATGGGCTATTTTGAAAAGTGTAACATCCATTCGAACCGAATTTCTGGGATTGAAGTTAAGAACAATGCGAATCCTACTGTAGTACGTTGTGAGGTTCATCACGGCCTCACTGGTGGCATTTACATTCATGAAAAAGGTAAAGAAAACCTTGAAAGTTTGCTCTGTAAAATTTCACATAGAATATAAGAGGCTGTGCCTTTATATCAGTTATGACATCATCTCATTTTAATGTTTTAGGACGTGGACGATTTATGGAAAATCGCATCTACTCAAATGCATTTGCCGGCATCTGGATCACTGGTAGTTCTGACCCCACAATTCGGAAAAATGAAATATATGCTGGCCAACAAGGAGGAG